TACATTACTGCCCCCCCCTCCCATGCCCCAAATACATTATTGGCCCCCCAATACAATAGGTCCCCCTATTCTTACCTTTAAAACTGTTCAATGGTGCCGGAGGGAAGAGAGGCCGCGATGCAATCTTGGTGGTGCCGCCGCCGCGCAGCCGCCGGATATGACGTCATGTCGTCATTATCCGCTCACATCCGGCAGCTGACAGGAAGTGCCTGTGCACTCGCACAGCAAGCAGTAGCGGCCGCATAATCCAAAACAAAAAACAATATTTATGTCTTGTGGCTGAGTGCAGCCACATGTCAAAGCGGCCCCAGGGCTGGCAGCCTACCGGGAAATTTCCCGGTATCCCGGTAGGCCAGTCCGGCCCTGTGTGCCATCCTAGATGAGCTGCACTACCTGAGCCACTTGTGTGGGTTGTAGACTCTGTCTCATGCTACCACTAAAGTCAAAGCACCGCCAGCATTCAGAAGTGACCAAAACATCAGCCAGGAAGCATAGGAACTGAGAAGTGGTCTGTGGTCACCACCTGCAGAACCACTCCTTTATTGTAGGTGTCTTGCTAATTGCCTATAATTTCCACCTGTTGTCTATCCCATTTGCACAAAAGCATGTGAAATTGATTGTCACTCAGTGTTGCTTTCTAAGTGGACAGTTTAATTTCACAGAAGTGTGATTGACTTGGAGTTACATTGTGTTGTTTAAGTGTTCCATTTATTTTTTTGAGTAGTGTATATATCTTATATATATATGATCTAAGTATATATTTTATTTTACACTGTGTTTTAAATTTTATTTTTTTTACCAATTACACATTACAGGCACACCTGCTGGCATTGCTGTGGATGGCTATGCCGTCCATGTGATTGTGAGGTCCTCGCAAGGACTTCGCGATCACATGGCCCAGTAGGAAGCAGCACGTGAGTCCCCCCACCGCGATTGCTGGGGTTGGATTGCCAGCAACCGGCCAAGTGAATAGGACGGCAGGGACATTCTATGCTGCCCTTCGGTGTTTAGGACCTGGTCCCAAGGACGGCATAGATCGCCTGCCGTCCTTATAGGGTTAAATGATAGATTTTATGTGCAATAAGACAATTCCTCTTCGCTCTGTGGCCTGGGGAAGCCAAAATGTTGGACTCCCATGACGTGGATATTCCAAACTGATCAATGCCTTTTGGGGAAATACACTGAACAAAATTATAAACACAACACTTATTTTTGCCCCCATTTTTCATTAGCTGAACTCAATGATCTAAGAATTTTGTACACAAAAGGCCTATTTCTCTCAAATATTATTCACACATCTGTCTAAATCTGTGTTAGTGAGCACTTCTCCTTTGCCGACATAAACCATCCACCTCACAGATGTGGCATATCAAGATGCTGTTTGGACAGCATGATTATTGAAAAGGTGTGCCTTAGGCTGGCACAATAAAAGGCCACTCTAAAATGTGCAGTTTTATCACACGCACAACATCACAGAAGTTGCACGTTTTGGGGGAGCATGCAATTGGCATGCTGACTGCAGGAATGTCCACCAGAGCTGTTTCCCGTGAATTGAATGTTCATTTTTCTACCATAAGCCGTCTCCAAAGGCGTTTCAGAGGATTTGGCAGTAAATCCAAGCGGCCTCACAACCGCAGACCACATGTAACCACACCAGCCCAGGACCTCCACATTCAGCATCTTCACCTCCAAGATTTAGACAGATTTGTGAACAATATTTGAGAGAAATAGACCTTTTGTGTACAAAGTAAGTCTTAGATCGAGGAATTTAATCAAAAAGCAAAAATCCTTCGAACAGACTTTAGGGGAAAAGGGTACCCTAATAGATACCTTAAACAGGCCTACCAGCGAGCAATAGCATCTGATCGCTGTTCTCTGCTAGATGAATCCAATAGTACCACACAAAAGGATTCAAAGATCATTCGTCTCATAGGTACCTATGATGCAGGCTGGAATAAGGTCAAAGATTCCCTCCAACGTTTCTGGCCATTACTTACCGGCGATGAACACCTAAAAGAGAGACTAACCCCTAATGCAACTATTACAGCACGTAGGGGGAGAAATTTACGTGATATTCTGTTTCCTAGTCACAGTGAGGATATAGAGGAGTTTACGATCACGTCTTTCTTTAATTGCAATACTAGCGGTTTGGTATATCTACTCATTTGTCAGTGCAATTTAAAATACGTCGGCAAGACCTTTAGGCCCTTTAAGAAACGGATTCAGGAACATGTAAGATCTCCAAAAAATCCAATGGATAACCCTATCTCTAGACATCTAAGGGAATGTCACAATGGTGACCCTAAAGGACTACGTTTCTGTGGTCTGGAACTCGTGAAAAAAAGTGCAAGAAGAGGTGACTATGATAAATTCTTAAGACAAAGGGAATCCTTCTGGATTTATAGACTAAAAACTTTGAGCCCTAGGGGACTCAATGAAGGTTTCTCCTTTTCGCCCTTCTTGTAAGAACTTTTAAACTTAGACTTATTCCATCAATTATAATTAAAAATGAAAATATATTTAAAAATAATAACCAAACTACATCTGTTCCCATATATCAAATGTAAGATCTTTTTGTCCCATATAACTAATGGGACAAGCTCAAGCCTTGATTTAACTCAAAAGATTATTATTTGTTAACTTATTTTCAAACTCTAAAGATTAGCAGTAAGAACTACTTAAAATTTGTGTATACTACAATACAGACCTTTTGCTGTGCAAATATCTCTTTCCAACCGAGAAAGATAAAACCTCCTCGTCTACATACATTTATATATTTTATATCATGATGAGGATGGGATATAGGATATTATAACCTTTAACCCAAAAATTAGCCCCATATGGATACTTAGCATACATATATCACAATATTTTAATTGAGTTTATATTTGCTTTACCATTTACCATTAGTGTTTTTCTTTTTCAGATTCCCAGGGTTTATATAGTTATTCAGCGTTGTAATTCTCTACTAGTATTTTTCTCTATATCTGGCCAGTCTGTATTGTGCAAATATACTGCTACATACAAGTGTTCCAGTAATGTCAGATACAGGAAAGCATCTGTATTCTCCTCTATCTGGCAAACTTGAACGTCGAATTGTTTTTCAGCTCGCGGACTTAGCCCGACGAGCCACCGTCCAGATGACGTCATTTCTAAATGACGTACCTATTGGAGGCGTGTCTTTTCCTCCCTTTAAAAGGCGGGTTGGCTACCTGGCAGTTTGCACTCTCGAAAAAGGCGCCTGTGAGCGCTGAAACGCGCGTCGAGTCCTGACGCTTCTTTTAATTTGGGGCAGCTCTCTTTAGACAATCGTTTCATGTGGCTTTGTAGTTAGGATGTGGGAATCCTTTTAGATAGGTAGTTTAATCTATACCCTATATCTTTGAATGGCTCTATCAGGGTCTACAGATACTAGGTTCTTGTATATACTACTCCGTTCTCGCTAATTACTATACCAGTATAGCAATAAGGGAAGAGTCTTATCTTTTATAATTTTCTTTCAAACTGAACCATCATAGACTTTTCACTTTATTATATATTTGGATACAATCGGGCTTTATCAAGGGATACATAGACTATGCTAGAGACTTTATCCACGAGTTAACAGCACTTTATTAAAGAGCACTGTATACCTTAGGGAATGATACTATTTTCGCTCCATTGAACAAGCTGTATCTCATTTGGGACATTGACCCTGAGCCCATACCTGATAGTCACTAGCGAATTTTGATCAGCTGATATACCTATCCGTATATAAGACACTACGATTCCGTTTTGCTATTTGTATAGAAGATATCAAGATTTCTTTTTTCTTCATATCTTTCTATGTTCCACCTATAATCCCTAGGTGGATGCGACATGAACAGTGTTTTACTGAAACTATTTAGTTGATATACTACATGAGCTACCCCCTCCCCCCTTTTTAAATCACCTACACACTTTTTTTTAATACAATTTTTGGATATTGGTGCTAAGGAGTCTATATGACTCGAACAGATACAATTTAATAAAGATTGTTCTTTTATTTCTTTTTCTATTACATATTTACCTATACTCCTATTACTTATCTCAGATTCTATGAGTTAATCTTATTTTCCGTGGGTATACCTTTGAGGTTTTTTGAGAGGAAGGGCTTTATGCCTTCTACCCTCTCAACCACCCTGAGGCATTTTTCCTTTTCTAAATTATCTGTGTACATACCCAACTATACCCATTTTGTCCTATTTTGAACTGTTGGATTCGGCTTGTCCTGATCCCACTTGTTCGCTTTTTTCTACACACACATATATATATATATATGTATATAAAAAAACTGAGATGCTTGCACACCTGGATTAGAGAGTAATTGCACGATGCTGGTCAGGCACAAGATACAAAAAAATTATTGGAAATGATCGCACTCCAAGGACTTGATGATAGTAAAAATAAAATATAACTTTTATTCTATATCATTTAAAAATATCGACGTTTCAGCCCAAATACATGGGCTCTCATCAGGATAGAAATACAATACACAAATACATAGAACATACTTATATACTTATATAGCAAAACATAAAAGGATACTAACCAGCTTCATGTGTGAGAGAACCGAAATGGCGTTCAGACTGCACGTGGAACGGTTGATCAAAGTGCCTCAGTCCATACAGTACCGCATAGATGCTCGGGAGATAATTGAGACGTAATTCAATTATCTCCCAGAGCAGAGGCAAATCGCCATTTTAAATATAAGTCACAGAAAACATTAAAATACATAACTTTATAACTGCCATTCGTATAACACATCCCCAGATAGCCTGGATCTGAGTGCATATTATTGGCGAATAGCGCTCAGATCCCATACGCATAGTTCAATCGCCATGGAGTCAAAAGTCTATTACAGTTCTTCGGTATGCGATTGACTCCATGGGAAGGCTATCTGGGGTAAGTCCATTCGTGCCTTTAAACCTCTTGAACGGCCGGTGTTCGCATACTTTTGTCGATTGAGAAGGGAGGGCGACGGCTTCAGCGGTGTTCGGTTGAAAAAGTGTCAGTTTTTAGTTCCATGAAATAACCGTCGAACACCGCTGGTCTTTCGCATGGTTAAAATGGCCGCCGCCTCGACATACGAACGACGACCACCCTGTATTCGGTTTTAATTGAGAAGTGTCTGTGGTTAACCGCAACGTTCTAATTGGGATCAATAGGTTAACCAGCAGCACACTTCTCTTCTGGGTGGCCGTCCGTTCAGTAGTTCCGTTCGACAAAAAAATACATTCCCTTAAACAAGGCATACCAATGGGGAAATTCATACAAACGTCAAAACAGATGAACACAGCAATTCTAGTTCATATGGATGGGTCTGTCACATGGCTCCCCCCTTGTGGAACACTCCGGCAGACCCGGCTTGACCCTTTGGCGGGTCAACTTGGGCATGACCGGACTAGGAAGAAGTAGGGACGTCTGTTTGCCGGGATCCGCCTTCCCATTCTGCTTACCGGGTCGGTAGCTGATGGTGAAGTTGTAAGGCTGCAGTGCCAAACTTCACCTCAGCTGTCTGCCATTGTCTCCTGAGACCCGGTTAAACCAGACAAGGGGATTGTGGTCCGTTATAAGGGAAAACTCTTGCCCGTACAAATAAGGGTTCAACTTCTTCAGTGCCCAGACCAGGACTAAACACTCCTTCTCCACTGCTGCATAACTCACTTCCCGAGGTAGTAACTTTCTGCTTAGGTATGCGACAGAGTGCTCTCCTCCATCTCAGCACAGCCCCCAGTCCATACATGGAAGCATCTGTATGAACAAGAAAACATTTGTTAGGGACTGGCCCAGACCAGGACTAAACACTCCTTCTCCACTGCCGCATAACTCACTTCCCAGGGTAGTAGCTTTCTGCTGAGATATGCGACAGGTTGCTCTCCTCCATCTTCCCCGACCTGGCTCAGCACAGCCCCCAGTCCATAGATGGAAGCATCTGTATGAACGAGAAAACGTTTGTTAGGGACTGGGGCAGCCAGGACAGGGGCATTTACAAGAGCTTGCTTCAGGGCCTGAAACGTGGCTTCACATGCTGGAGACCACAGGACCTGCTTAGGTAAATTTTTCTTAGTCAGGTCAGTCAAGGGCTTGGCAAACGTACTGTAGTCGGGGACAAAATGTCGGTAATACCCTGCCGTCCCCAGGAAGGCCAATACTTGGGTCTTGGTGATAGGTGTGGGCCAGTTAGCTACAGCCTCTACCTTGGCTGGCTCTGGTCTCTGGCTCCCACATCTTACCCTGTGACCCAAGTACTGCACTTCTGCCATGCTTAAATGGCACAATTCTGGTTTCAAGGTCAGGCCTGCGGCCCGAATCTTGTCCAGCACCACCCCCACGTGTACTAAGTGTTCTTCCCAGGACTCACTGTAGACCGCAATGTCATCCAGGTATGCACATGCAAATTCCTGGAAGCCATCGAGGAGCCTATCCACCATACGCTGGAAGGTAGCCGGAGCATTCTTCATCCCAAATGGCATGACCTTAAACTGGTACAGACCAAATGGGGTGACGAATGCCGAATCTGCCAATAACCTTTACACAGGTCAATGGTGGTCAGATAGCGCCCCCTGGCAATGCGGTCTAATAACTCGTCTACCCGGGGCATCGGGTAGGCGTCAGTGGTGGTCTGCTCGTTGAGTCGCCTGTAGTCCACACAGAACTGGGGGGTCCCATCCTTCTTAGGTACCAGGACTACAGGGGAGGCCCAAGGGCTGTCTGAGTGCTCGATAACCCCCAGCCTGGTCATCTCCTGTATCTCCTTCCGCATTCCTTCTCGGACTGCTTCAGGGATACGGTATGGGGGTTGTCGTAGGGGGTTCTGTCCGGGTGTCTCGACCTTGTGTACAGCTAGGGTAGTATACCCGGGTTCTTGGGAGAACGTCGCCTGCTTCTCCCACAGAAGCTGTCTTGCCTGTACCTTCTCTGTAGGGTTTAATCGGTCCCCTAGCTGTACAAGACTAGTAAGGTCAGTCTGGGGATCCTTCTCTGATAAGTCGGGTAAGGGTAAATTCTCTGGGTCGTCAGTAGCTGGGGCACATACTGCCGCAACATCCTCTGGTCTCTCCTGATACTCCTTCAGCATGTTCACATGAAAGGATCGCTGAATCCTTTCATCTGCACAGCTGGCTATAAGATAGGTAGTATCACATACCTGGGCTAACACTTTATATGGCCCCTGCCAAGATGCTTGCATCTTGTTCGTCTTCACAGGCTTGAGCACGAGAACCTTCTGCCCCACCTGGAAGACCCGCTGTCAGGCACCCCGATCGTACCACCTCTTCTGTCTCCCCTGGGCCGCCTGGAGATTCTCCCTTACCATCAGGGATAGTTTTTCCATGCGGTCCCGGAGTTCCAGGACATATGGCACTATGGGAGTCACTTCTTGCTCTGTTTCCCCCTCCCAGTGCCCTCTAATGAGATCTAGGGGTCCGCGGACCCTTCTCCCATAGAGTAACTCAAAGGGGGAGAACCCAGTAGATTCCTGGGGAACCTCTCTGTATGCAAATAGCAGATGAGGCAGGAATCGCTCCCAGTCTCTGCAAGTGTCAGTAAAGGTCCTCAACATCTGTTTGAGGGTACCATTAAATCGCTTGCAGAGACCATTAGTCTGTGGGTGATAAGGTGAGCTAAGCAGCGGTTTAATGCCGCACACCTTCCACAGCTGCTGGGAAAATTTTAACCAGGGCATCAGCAACCGTCTCTGCCTCTATATTAGACAGCGCTACTGCCTCTGGATAACGTGTGGCATAGTCCACCACGGTAAGAATATATTTCTTACCTGATGGACTAGCCCTGGCCAGTGGACCCACAATATCAACGGCTATGCGGGAAAAGGGTTCTCCAATGATAGGCATCGACTGAAGCCTAGCCTTTGGGTGATCCCCCCGTTTACCTACCCGTTGACAGGTGTCACACATGCTACAATAAACCCGCACATCTCGGTTAAAATTAGGCCAGAAAAAGTTTTGTGTGATTCTATGAGCTGTGCGGCGGGAACCTAGATGGCCCGCTAACGGCACATCATGCCCAATCCGCAGAATCTCCTGCCGGTATTTTGCAGGTACCACTAGCTGTCGATTCTGCGGATGGGTACTCGGTCTCTGGGACGGTTTCGGGATCCTGTACAGCCCCCACCCACTCGTAATGCTCCCCATCTACCCCTTCTCCCCCAGAATCAGCCCTGGCCCTGTACTTTGCTAACGTCGGGTCTTCCCTAGTTTCCTTCCCGTACATCTCTGGGGTGTCCCAGCCTAAAGGGGCCTGGTCTAAGGTACAAGTCGGGGTAGAGAGTCTTACCTGGGTCTCAGCAGCAGGTGGGCCGGTCTCGGCGGCACGGGTCGTGACAGCATCAACTTCCGCAGGACCCATGGGAGCGAAGGCTGAAACAAGGGGCGCCAAGTCATTGCCAAGAAGAACATCTGCTGGTAAGTCCTTTATGACCCCCACATTTACATGTCTAGCGCCCACTCCCCAATCCAAATGTACCCGGGCAACGGGTAGATGAAACGCGGCACCCCCGGCTACTCGCACTGCGACCGTGTCCCCGGTATGTTGGGCCTCGGACACCAGGTGCTTCGGAAGCAAAGTCATGGTTGCACCGGTATCCCGTAGACCACTGACCTCCTTCCCATTGACCTTTACACATTGCCGGTGGTGCTGTCTGTTATCCCGGTGGGCAGCTTGAACAGGGACTGCCTCATGCAGGATGCCCCAGCACTCCTCTTCCTCTACACAGTGAGCAGCTGGGAGAGGTGGTCGTGGATTGCCGCCGGCGGGTCTCCTCCAGGACTGGTTCTGGTTGGCACTGTTCATCGGGCACTCCGGTCGCTTGTGCCCTGGCTGTTTGCATAGGTAGCATCTAATAGGTTGCGAGTAATCCCGTGAGTTGAATCGGGGTGGCTGTTGGTACTGGGCAGACGGAGGGGGTGCTGACGGCCGATTCATTGGAGGCTGGTAGATGTTAGCTGCTGGTGGTGCTGCTGGCCGGTACTCCACTCTGGCGGGAGTCTTACTGACGGAACTGTCCAGTTTGCGGGCATCGGTATACTCGTCCGCCAGGCGAGCTGCTTCATGTAGAGTGGAGGGTTTACGGTCCCTTACCCACTCTCTGACCCCTGGGGGTAATTTGTCGAAGCAATGCTCCAATAGAAACATCTGCAGCACCTCTACTCCGGACACAGCCTGGCACCCCGCCATCCAGTGGGCAGCTGTGTGGTGCACTTTGCATGCCCATTCAACGTAAGAGTCCCCAGCTGTTTTAACAGTGTCTCTGAACCTCCTCCTGTATGCCTCCGGTGTAACGGCATACCGGGAGAGTAAAGCTTCCCTGACGGCCCCATAATCCCCGATCTCCTCATCTGGAATGGCCCGAAAAGCATCGCTGGCCCAGCCGGATAACTTGCCGGACAATATAGTGACCCAGTCTTCCAGGGGTACCTTGTGCAGGGCACATTGCCGCTCAAAATCAGTAAGGTATCCATCAATCTCTCCTTCTGCCTCTACAAAAGGTTTAAACGCTGTAAACGGCACTTTCTTTCTTTCCCCCGGGTTTGCTGTGACTGGGGCTGCTGCAGCACCGCTTTGGCGTAGCAGATTGGTCTCCACAGCGGCCATGACCCGGTCGATGATCTCTGCAGATGGGTTGGGACCATAATGTGCCAGCCTGATTATTACCGCCCGGTCAAAGCTTGCCTCCTCGGGGGTTCTGTCAGCTGTGCTGGGTCCATTGGTTCCCTCTGCTGCTGGTACTCCATCCATTTGACTGTAATAGCAGAATGACATGGGGACATTTTAGACATACAACCTCACAATATTCCCAGCATACATCACAGCTTCCTCCCCTCTGCTCGGGAGATAATTGAGACGTAATTCAATTATCTCCCAGAGCAGAGGCAAATCGCCATTTTAAATATGTCACAAAACACATTACAATACATAACTTTATAACTGCTGAACGTATTACATTCGTATAACACATCCCCAGATAGCCTGGATCTGAGTGCATATTATTGGCGAATAGCGCTCAGATCCCATACGCATAGTTCAATCGCCATATAACTGTTAGTGTCTACTGGTTTAAAGACCAGAAAATTCACACAAAAAACTATTTTAAACCAGTAGACACTAACAGTTATATTGACAGAACTAGCTGTCATCACACCCCCTGGCTCACTAATGCACCAAAAGGCCAGTTCAAAAGGCTAAGAAGAAACTGTACAGACACACAAGTATATGTGGACCAAGCGAAACACCTAATGGACCAATTTCTAGAAAAGGGTTATGAAGCAACCAGTCTAAAAAAGGATCTAGAAGATGTCAAATCTGTAGAAAGGAAAGAACTTTTAAAATATAAATCTAAAAATACCCTTAAAAACAGTACGGACATCCCCTTCATATGTCAATATAATAGAAATATTAAGTGCATTCAAAAAACAATAAACAGGCATTGGCACATCTTAAGAGACGATCCTATCTTAAAGAACATCTTACCATCAAAACCAAAGATTATATATAGAGGAAATAGAAATTTAAAAAAACATTTTGGTAAGGAGTAGTCTAGATCCTACTAAACCAGACCATTTTTTAAACAATCTTGTAGGATTTTATGGCTGTGGGGAATGCTTACCATGCAGAACCACCAAAAATAAAAAAAGACATCTTTTGGATTTAAGCACTTTTTTGGGACAACAATACAAAATAAAAGACCACCTCACATGTCACTCCAAAGGAATAATTTATGCCCTGAAATGTCCATGCAATCTCCTCTATATAGGGAGAACAATACGACCACTACACATAAGAATTGCAGAACATATACGCAACATCAGAAAAGGTTTAGAGACGCATTCCGTCTCTCAACACTTTAAAACTTTAAAACTATACATAAGATCCTACAACCCTGCAATTTTGTGCAATAAAATTGGTAACAAAAAATTGGAGAGGAGGTGATTACGGGAATAAATTAGGAAAGGAAGAGATGAAGTTCATTTTTAATTTCAATACCCTAATACCCAATGGTTTGAACTCAGACTTCGAGATTTGCCATTTTCTTAAGAAATAATTCCCTCTTTACAAAGATTCTCCTGTTCACTATTATTGACATTTGTATTAATAGATCAATCATTTTTGACACACACTGTATTGGGCAATTTTCATTGGTTCTTAGTATACTGTCATACCTTCTTTCCTGTATATACACTTTTTATATATATTTTTTATATATTTTTTGTATATATACTTTTGCATTTTTCCAAATATTTATAATATATTTTTTCAAAATATTTATAGTATTTTTTTATTGCATATTTAGCACATATGTACCTATTATACATTTTATGATATATTATATCCAGTCATTTTAATCCTTTTTTTTACCCACATCTACTTTAATCTCTGACATTTGATGTACCAAGAGGACATCTAAAATATAATTTTAATCCTTTGGAAAAGCCTTTCAACAAAGACAGGTGTAACAACTTCAAGGAACTCTACAAAGGCAGACAGTACTTTATTAAGTGGGTGGAACGCAAACGGAAGTGCGTCACCACTAGGCGGATGGCCTATCCCAACATGTGCGTTCCACTGACGGACGGAACGAAAACCGGAACCGGAAGTGACGACGGAACCCGGAAGTAACGAAGATCGAACAGATGTCCAGCATTTACCCATCTAAAGAGGTATAAAAGGATGAGAGGTAACAGAGCAACGTTAGGAGCAACTGAGGAAGCCCATGTATTGGGCGAAACGCGTTTTGCTGAACTTTCCCGAGTGAATAATTGACCTTTTGTCCCTTAGTGGACCATTTCATATTAAGAGACTTCTGATTTGTTTTTTTTAATTTATTTTTTATACATTTTACTGCACTTTTTACCCTAAGTGGGATTGTATTTTTGATGTATTTTCCTTTTTATTAAAGAAGAATTTAGATTTGTGGATATGGTCCCTTAATTAATATAAGGAATACAGAACAAGCTGCTATACAGAGAGGGAGTGGGAACCCTAACAACCATCCCACAGGCGTCTAAATTGAGCCAGTTTCCTTTGGCTCTTGGTTTGTGAGTACCTACCACATATTATATTTAAAGTCACCATTGCACTTTACGATATTGCACTAGATTGTGTTTTTTCTGTCTTTACAGTTTTTATTACATTTTATATGCCATTGTACATACTCACTCTAGTCTACTTCGCCACTAGATATCCTGAAGTGGTAGCACTGTCTAACATTGAGGCAGAGACAGTGCCGGATGTCCTGGTCAAGGTGTTCTTAAGAGTCGGATTTCCCCAGGAAATCATATCAGACCAGGGTACCCAGTTCACTGCCGCTGTGACCCAGCAGTTGTGGAAGGTCTGCGGACTAAAACCCCTGACTAGCCTCCTGTACCATCCCCAGACCAACGGTCTATGCGAGCAGTTCAATGGGACTCTGAAGCAGATGCTGAAGACGTTCACGGCCGCTTCCAGGGACTGGGAGCGATTCCTGCCGAACCTGCTTTTTCCTTACCGGGAGGTCCGGCAGGAATCAATGGGGTTCTCCCCCTTTGAGTTGTTATACGGGAGGTGAGTGAGGGGACCCCTAGACCTGATTAGGGAGCATTCAGAGGGAGCCACAGAGTCAGCAGGGACCCCGGTGGTGCCATTTGTGCTGGAGCTGAGGGACCGTATGGAGGCGTTGACCCAGATGGTGCGTGAAATACTCCAGTCCCCTCAGCGCCGCCAGCGGGTATGGTACGACCGGAAGGCCAGGCACCGTAGTTTTCAGATAGGACAGCGAGTTATGGTACTTAATCCAGTCCGACTGGACAAACAACAGGCTGTCTGGCAGGGACCCTACAAAATTATTGGGAAAGTATGTGACACTATGTACACGGTAGCCAGCTGTGATGTTGAGAATGTAGAGTGCACATTCCACATCAACATGCTGAAGGAATACAAGGGTAGAGAAGAGGAGGTGGCGGCCATGTTTGCGCCACCATCCGAGGATCTAGACACCCTACCCCTGCTGGATCTATTGGAGGGCGACCAGAGGGTACAGGCTATAGAGTTGATACAGTTGGGGGAACGGCTGGGACCACAGGAACGGGCCCAGGCAATCGCCCTTCTGGAAGCCAAACAGGCTACGTTCTCTCGGGTACATGAGACTGGCCTTCCACAGGGTGGAGAGCCCAGGCCAGGCTCCCATGTGGCAGCCCCAGTACCGCATCCCCGAGGCAGTCCGGGAAGGGATGCAGAGGGAAATAAATGAAATGCTACACTTAGGGGTCATTGAACATTCCGAAAGTCCTTGGGCTTCGCCGGTAGTGCTAGTGCCGAAGCGGGATAGCATGACCCGCTTCTGCGTAGACTACCGATGACTCAACGATAAGACTGTCACAGATGCCTACCCGTTGCCCCGAGTAGACGAACTGTTGGACCGGATGGCTAGGGGGAAATATCTGACGATAGACTTATGTAAGGGCTACTGGCAAATTCCCCTAGCCGAGGACGCCATACCGAAATCGGCCTTCGTCACCCCGTTCGGCTTATACCAGTTCCGAGTTATGCCATTCGGGATGAAGAATGCCCCAGCCACTTTCCAATGTATGGTAGATCGCCTCCTAAATGGTCTCCAGGATTATGCGTGCACATACCTGGACGACATATCGATTTTTAGTGAAACCTGGGAGGCCCACTTAGAACATGTAGGGACAGTACTGGATAGAATCCTGGCAGATGGCTTGACCTTGAAGCCTGACAAGTGTCACGTTGGTATGGCGGAGGTGCAGTACTTGGGCCACCGGGTAGGATGCGGAAAACAACGTCCGGAACCCGCTAAGATTGAGGCTGTTGCCAACTGGCCCACCCCCTGTACCAAGTTATGGCTTTCTAAGCGACAGCCGGCTACCACAGACGCTTTGTCCCTGACTATAGTGCCCAGGCCAAACCCTTGACGGACTTGACAAAAAAATAATTTACCCGACAGGTCCTGTGGTCCCCGCAGTGCGAGGCAGCCTTGAAGCAAGCTCTTATAAACGCACCTGTTCTCGTTGCCCCCAATCCTAACAAACGTTTTATTGTACACACAGATGCTTCAATGTTTGGACTGGGGGCAGTCTTAAGCCAGGTCGGAGCCGAAAATTGTTGCCCAGGGAAGTCAGCTATGCGGCCATTGAAAAAGAATGCCCAGCTTTAGTGTGGGCATTGAAGAAACTAACACTCTACTTATATGGCCGGCCGGCCGTTCACCCTCATCACGGACCACAATCCTCTCGTCTGGCTCAATCGTATTGCAGGGGAGCCTTGCATTACAACCATATGACTTCACCATCCACCACCGACCTGGCTAAATGAATGGGAATGCGGATGGCCTATCCCAACAGACTGAATTAGCGGCCTAAATTTCGCAAGGATTACCCGGACAGCCCCAAGTCGACCTGAAAAGGGTCCAACTGTGTCTGCCGGAGCTGTCAGCAAAGGGGGAGCAGTGTGAAGAAAACCCCTGTTTTATGGACTTAGTTCGACTATTTTATTCCCCCGCCCCTCCCTCCTAGAACACCAGTTGAACCCTTAATACCTTGTTACACCAGTTGAACCCTTAATACTTTGTTACATTCAAACACTGTCTGACCTTTTAAATGTCATTTTTATTTTCCTCAGAGGAGGAGTTGATTTACTGCATGAATACTGTTGATTTGTGTGCCATTAAACAGATCTCTAACCAGCATTAAGCCTCGGCTCATGTGTGAGGGGTTATGCGATGCTTGTGTCTATACTCTGCCTGGGAGGATTATTCGCTAACTACTGGGAGAAAGGGAACCCAAGACGGTCAGAGAGGGTTGGACCGTCACACTAATGATGTAATATGTTATTTGTAAATGGTAGAAAGGCCAAAAATCATCATGGTCTTGATGTAGTGATTACCTGCAAAGGGACGCTTAAACTTACCCTATTAAAACTGAAATGTCCTGACGTAATTTTTTTGGCGTGCATAGAACGTGTGATGGGATAGTGACACTGCGAGTAGCATAAATCCATGACCAGCTTCTGTAAGTGCAAGGATTGTTGGATGTATGCTGATGGCAGTTGCAAGTTGACCTATGACCCCTCCCTTCTTTTATTGATATGTTTGTTTTTATTTGAATATCCATCTCTTCATCTCTGTGCCTAGATACATATTCCCCTCCCTCAGCTTTATTGCAAGCTCTCTGACCCTCACATCTCTTTATTCAACAGCCTGATTCCCCAACTTTGCAAGCCCATTATCGCTGTGAGCAAGCCTCCCCTCCCCATGCTCATTATTACATTTATAGATTGTCTGTCACACCCACTGCCTCTTAACAGTACACTCCTGCACTTTCTTAACCCATAAAACATAATATTTTTCCTACCATCACCTGCTCTTGATATTCCAATTATTTCTAATTTTTATTTTTCACAGTTTTACAATGATCTGTCTTCTCCTCCTCTTTATTTCCTCATTCTGCCTCAGTATAAAAATCTCTTCTTACACCCACTTCACTCACCCCCCATCCACATATGCCCCTCTCTGCTTCACTCCCTCCTTCTCTCATCTCATGCCTTACACTCATTTTTCTACTCTCACTCCGACCCACAATCGATCTCATCCTAGATCCCATGCAACAAAACCCATTCACATCTCCTGTCACTTTCTCTCCTCCTGCTTGTAGCAGCTGGTGATGTCTCTCCCAATCCAGGGCCCTTTAACTTCTCTACACACACTAAGAAAACCAGAAACCCCACAAACCTCATCACAATACCCTGCCCTTTACCCTCACTTACCAACATTCAGTGTGCACTCTAGAATGCCCGCTCCATCTGCAGTAATTTAAAATCAGCAACCATACACGATTTTTTCATCTCAAACTCACTCACACTGCTTGCACTTACAGAGACCTGGCTGTCCCCCTCTGATAGTGCTACTCCTGCCTCTTTATGTTTTGGTGGGCTACAATTCTCTCACACTTCCAGACTCAACTGTAAAGGAGGCGGCGTAGGCATCCTCTTCTTCCCTCAATGTACCATTCAACCAATCATAACTCCCCCTGCCCTATCCTTTTCTTCTTTTGAAGTTCACACTGTCCGTCTATTTAAACCCACTCCTTTAAAAATTGCTATCATCTCCCACCCCACTGGTTATCCTATTCAGTGAGCAGTTTTCTTGCTGGCTTCCCCAATTCCTCTCATGTAGCACTCCTCCCCTTATATTTGGGGATTTCAATATCCCAATCAACAACCCCAATTGCACTGATGCCTCTCGTCTGCTCTCTGTAACCTCCTCCTCTGGCCTTATGCAATGGTCCAATTTAGCAACCCATACAGCGGGAAACACTCTTGATCTCGCCTTCACCAACCTCTGTACTGCCTCTAATCTCTCCAATATTCCTTTTCTGACCACCATCTGCTGACTTTTGACATTGGCATACCCAAGACCCAATTGACACCACCGTCTGAACATCACTCTCACAGAAACCTCCAATGTCTTGACCTAGAGCATTTTCCCACTAATCTCCAAACTCTCCTGTTACCTATCTCAAATCTCACCTGTCCTAGTTCTGCAACCTCCTTCTACAATTCCACCCTCTCCTCTCAACTAGACATCATGGCACGTTCTACATTTAAACTCAGTAGGCGCCCCCAACAACAACCCTGGCACACCAAGCTCACTTGATACCTCCAAAAATGCTCCAGAACTGGTGAACGCTGTTGGAGAAAGTCTCACTGTGCGTCTGACTTTCTCCACTATAAATTTATGCTGAGCTCATACAGCTTGGCTCTTTCCTCTGCAAAAGTAAATTACTTCAATACCCTCATAACCACACTCTCCCGCGAACCCAAACAACTATTTCACACAATTATTCCTCCTTCACCTACTAACTTGACTGCCTCAGACTTTGCAACTCACTTCACTGGCAAGATCTCTACAATCAGGGAAGAGATATCTCATCTTTCTTCTTCCCCTTACAATACTTCCCCTAAATTAACTCCCTCTGCTGTTCTATGTTCATTTGCACCCGTTACATTGGAAGAGGTTTCTGCTCTGCTCCAGTCCTCCCGCCCCAGCCACCTGCTCCCTAGATCCAATTCCCTTGCCTCTCATCCGTACTCTGTCTTCTTCTCTTTCTCCACCTCTCACTAAAATTCTCAATCTCTCTCTCTCCTCTGGTATATTTCCATCACCCTTCAAACATGCAACTGTAACCCCAATTCTAAAGAAGCCCAACCTTGACTCTAACTCCCCATCCAACTACTATCCTATCTCGCTACTGCCTTTTGCATCCAAGATCCTTGAAAGAATTGTGTATGCGAGATTGACAGACTTCCTCGAGTCCAACTCTTTGCTAGACCCGCTTTAGTCTGGTTTCCGCGCTAAGCACTCAGTGGAAACGGCACTGACCAAAGTATCCAATGATCTACTTGCTGCAAAATCTCGTGGTAACTACTCTATCCTAACTCTCCTTGACCTGTCTGTGGCTTTTGACACTGTTGATCATCAACAGCGTCTTCTCATACTCCGCAATATCGGTCTACAAGATATTTCTCTCTCCTGGTGCTCCTCCTACCTTTCCCAGCGCTCTTTCAGTGTTTCTTTCTCTGGCTCTGCTTCTTCTCCCTTTGGTCCCCTACTGTTCTCCATCTATACTGCCTCCCTTCGTAAACTATACTGCCTCCCTTGGTAAACTCATTAGCTCCTTTGGCTTCCAATATCATTTCTATGCAGATGACACGCAAATCTACCTGTCCTCTCCCCGTCTCTCTTGATTAGTGTCTCTGACTGCCTCTCTGCTGTTTCTAACTGGATGGCTGCCCACTTCCTTAAACTAAACTTGACCAAAACTGAAATTCTGGTCTTTCCTCCCTCAAGTGTCTGTCTCCCTCCAAGTCAACAGTGCTAACATCAGCTCCACCATGCAGGCTCGCTGCCTAGGTGTTCTCTTTGACTCCGACCTCTCCTTCAAGCCTCATGTTCAGTTTATCGCCAAATCCTGTCATTTCCATCTCAAAAACATTGCGTGCATCCGCCCCTACTTAACGCCAGATGCGACTAAGGTGCTGGTTCATTCCACTGTCCTTTTTCGCCAGGTGAGGCTCATCTTTTCACCAGGCGAGGCTCATCTTCCTGTCCGCCTGCACCTGCCACGCCTCACCCTTCTGTCAGTCCCTACGTTGGCTTCCTATAAGATATAGAGCTCAATTTAAAATTCTGGTTCTTGCGATCAAATCTCTACATAATGCTGCTCCCACCTAACTATCCTCCCTTATACACAAGTATGTCCTGTCTAGGCCCTTATGATCTGCTGAAGAATTACGTCTATCTTCTGTCCGTACTCCCACCTCTGATGCTCGCATTCAAGATTTCTTGAGGGCTGCACCGTTCCTGTGGAACTCACTTCCCTCCTCCGTTAGATGCTCACCCAGTCTCCACTCCTTCAAAAAATCGTTAAAAACCCACTTCTTCAATTAAACTGTAAATAGCTCCAGACTAACTCCTCTTCTGCAACTGTCACTAGCCTAACACTATCTTTACCTTTTTGTGTCATTTTACCCCACTCCCGCTAGCATGTAAGCTCATTGAGCAAGGCCCTCAACCCCTCCGTTCCTGTGTGTCAAACTTGTCTGGTTACAAATACATGTCTGTTCATCCACCCATTGTAAAGCGCTGTGGAATTTGATGGTGCTATATAAATAACATAATAATAACATTGTTGAAATTGAGGTCGGGATAGTATGACTGCGGTGAGGCTATCCCCCCTTTACCAGCTCCTGAACCTAAAGCTAGTTCTCTGCCCTTGTACCAGGACTTGAAACATACGTGTGCTCTGGATTTTGTATGTTTTTACATTTACTAAACCGCAATTTCAAAGCTCACCAAATGTAATAGTTAAAAATAAATAAATAAACAAACACCTAACCTAGGCAAAAATAAAAATAAATTTAGTTTCAGTATATGATCATACATTGCATAACCCGGTCACAATGCCAATGTACCCCATTTGTTGCCGGTTCTATCCTAGCAACCCAATGACTGCTTTTATGATATTAATCCACTTACTTGGGAAATCCTTCCTCCTGGGAGTATTCAATCTAGGTCAGGTATTAAAAAAATAAAAAATACTATTGCATTCTGTGAGCAAGTTGGAACTTGTCTGTTGTATGAATTTGCCCCAGCAGCACCCTTATAATGTATGCATGTTCAGGTGAGTGCAGCCCTCTTGGAGATTAGACAGACAGAGCCATATATATATATATATATTTTTTATTATCTCACTTTAACACAAGATTGTAAAAATGTTATTCAGAATATTTCTTGGCATCAAGTGACTTAACATATATGAATGCTTAGATACAAATAGTACCTCTGTAAACAGAAATTTACTTGCTCACATGCTCTTAGATAATTCAATATATTTTCATAGTTTGTTTCTCGATGCATTTAATAAACCTCCTATAACAATTTAATCATCTTTTATTTTACTACATTTGCGATATTATATCATAAAATATCACCTGAGAAAAGTTAATAGTAACATCCAAGCTCTTAACACCTCAATTTTGTTATCTGGTAGTTTAGAAAGAAATTAAAAAAAAACCCACAGGGGCAATTTTAAAGTATGGAATGTATGAACAGGATACCATTTAACATTGTGAGATATGTTGTCAAATAGATGTATTATGAATATCTGGTATGTTCATGGTATTCAGGGAATTGTACGGGCAGGATACCACCTTCTGTTTGTGAGTGGAATGCAAGGGACATATTTAATAAGGCATAGTTAATGCAATTCAGGAGCAGTTGTGGAGCTTTTTCTAGAGGATACATTTTGTTTCTACTGCCTTACCTGCATGGATAAAGCAGTAGAAACATCAAGTATCCGCTAGAAGAAACTTCACAACTGCTCCAGTTTTGACTTGATGAATATGGTTCAGAAGGCATATTTTGTAAAACCTCAACTGCTCTTTACAGGATAGTTCTTTCGGTAGATGATGTAAATTCCTTTGACTTTACTAGATTTTATTACAGTGCCTGACTTGGATGTGATTCTGATACGTTAGTGGTCAGTAAACCCATGCAATAGGTACCCACTGTGGTGACGTACAGGCTATATTAAATGCACCCAGAATATCCTGTACAGACTGTTCCACGCCATTATTAACGAGAATCAGATCGAAGTGTTGAGCATAGCGAGAGCGAAGCAATTCTGAATCTGCACGAAGTTTCTGAAGAGCATCAGACTACAAAGGAAAAAAATAAAACAACATTATGAGGGGGAAATTAGGACAAAGTAAGGGATAGCAAAAACAGAACATGTGAAATTATAAAACACGGACTAGACTAGTTACATGCATATATATGGGGGAAAACGGATGAAGCATAAAGATACATAATGCACAAGGTTTTTCATTTTACAGTTAATATAATCATCCTATCCCATGCCTTTATTCCATATTTTCCCTATTTTTGAGTACTTTGATCATCACTTGAAACCAAAAAAAAGGTCCCTTTAAAAATCTTTCACCATAGTTGTCCTTTGATGAAAATAAATGCTTTAACCCCTTAAGGACACATGACATGTGTGACATGTCATGATTCCCTTTTATTCCAGAAGTTTGGTCCTTAAGGGGTTAAAGGGACACTCTAAGCTCCAAAATCATTACTGTTTAATGCAGTGGTTCTTGTGTAAAGGGACCGGGAATCCAAATCGGTCCACAGAATGGATCTCTCTGTTCATGGAACCAGGGAGCTCTTGGAATGGTGAATTCACCAACCAAGATACTCCAGATGGACCAAGAAGAGAAGTGTGGACTGCCAGATCATAGGAGGCTGCTTCAAGGTATGGGACAAATGCAATTTCCAAATTTTCATTGTATGGACCTAATCCATCAAGGCACCCAGAACTTTGAATATCCTGGGAGCTGTGGCAAGACTAACTGGATGAATCCAAATCGTTCAAAACATGGAGTTAAGCATTTTTCAAGTCCACTGTGGTCTTGAGCAGTACCTCCTGTACAGAGAACTTGACAGACTGCATGCTCTCCATCCTGAGTGTCATCACCCTGAGAACCTGTTTTTAGGATTATAATGGAGTTAAAAGTACACTACTTATATTCCTGTTTGTTTACCAGCAATACCACCCCATTCCTTTCCAGGTCCCCTATATAAAGGGACTCTTCAGTGCCAGGAAAACAAACCGTTAAGTCCTCCTCCAATGGGCAGAAGTGGTCTGGGTGCCTGGAATGTCCCTTTAACATAAGCCTGAAAGGTGAGGGAGAGGTCATGCACCTCCAAAATGACTAAAGCCATATAATTAGATCTGGGATTGCCCGGGTAGAGATCCATGTCCACACTCCACAAGGGAGACAATGGAATCCTGGTTAGTATTCCTCTGTAGCAGAGGTATGGTGGTCCTGAAGTGGGTCAGACGACTTGGCTTAGTAGTGGGTGGGGGACATAGCTTATAATTGAAAGGACTTAGTGATTCCCAGGAAAAATTGCAATCAATGAACTAATACAAAAATAATGTAGTAGAGGGGGTGACA